TTGTCAAATTTGGCCATAACGTTTTGCGATTTTTGCTACAGAAGCTGCTCATGCAGCCACTTGAGTCTTCAGACTTCCGTCTGCCCACTGATGATACTGTAGAGTTTTATCCTACCAACATTTAACGCAATCACACAAAAAAACTGATTTTTATAAGGTTTTTGGAATTGGCCACAAGCGCTGCAAAATCTTTTACGTCGAAAAAAATGTTGTAAAGCAGCGACTTCAAACAAGCTTTATCATTATAACGGCGCTTGACTCGCTCCACTGCAAAAATGCAGCCCAATCGGACAAAACACTGACTTTTCGGTGGCCTAAAAAAATTCGAAGATTCGGGCATCGACTTGAAGTTTCCAACGTCTTAAGAACCGTTTTCACATACGCCAATGAAAATTTCATAAAAATCGCAAATAATCAAGTTTTTTGGATTTTTTCAGCACTATGCTGATTGGGTTCAATATTGCGACCAGATACCTAGAGAAAACTGGCAACTTATAATAAACTAGCAGCGATTTGAACTGCTTGCGGACGAAACATGCATCCTAAATGCCCCATAAGCGACATTATTGTTCGATTCGAACACAAACCCTTCGTATTAAAAGCGATATTTCGACCGGAAAACAAAAACGGCTTGACGAGAAGATATTCCGTCCTAGATTGAATATGAGGTCTAATCCGCATTTGCATGTATATTTTGTTAGACCAAACAAATTTGATTATAAGCGGCCGGAATATCGTTAGGGGCCCGCTTAGGACAGAGACGGAGCGAAATTTCGAAAAGCCAATTTGTGCGCTAGGCCACGCCAAATTTCTATACTATGGGATAAGTTTACGCAACAACGCCTGAATCGCGATGATTAGATTGTTTCCGAAGAGTTTTGCTGGCCCGTTTCGGAAGAATCCACAAAACTGTTCAAACTAATGGGTTTTTCGGGTTTTTAGGCCGTCGTTCGGTAGAATTTCTTCTTGACGTTTCGCAAGCACGAGTGGCTTGCATCTTCAAAGTGGTTTTCTTGAACGCTTACACTGTTCTCATCAGAACCCGCGTTCAGTTCTGCGGAAGAACTCAAAACGTCAGGAAGAAATTCTACCGAACGACGGCCTAAAAACCCGAAAAACCCATTAGTTTCAAGGGTTAAAAATCTTGCAAATCAATCTGAGACGTACCTGATCCTATAATTCATTGCAGAAATTAAACCGTTAAATCCGGTCGACAAAAATGGCAACAGTGCATTCAAAATATGCCCAATTTGTTCGTGCGCGTCACCACCTTCGTATTCAGACTTTTTCAGCGTTTTTAAACCTGAAAAAGTCAACCCCATGACCTTGACCTACTTAACAAATTTTGTGTAAATCCTAGCAAATCCATCTCAGACGTACGTCGTTCACTTCAACTGGGCTTTGATCCAGCCCAAGTCACGTCGCTTCGTCGTTCATGGCCACAATCAGTGTACCATTTTGCACTTACGGGGTGAGGCCGTTTCCTAATCGCTCCATAAACTTTTCCAAATATTTTGCGAAGGTTCGCCGATTCTGATGCGAATTAGTGATTTTCCGAAACTAGAATTTCTTCTGAACCATTTTGTGCTATTTTGCTGATCGGTACAGTGATTTTCGCGAAAATACGGGACTTTGGAAAACAATCCTAGCCTGACGTTTACTGCCAAAATACAGCACCCATAACCCCATGCGCAAACTCGCCTGCTGGACTGAATATGTGAATCTGCGTGCGCATTTCGAGTCCAAACGGGTCTCTGGAGATTGTTGCAGAC